TGTTTCAGTCATCTTCACATACATTGATAGGTTTATCTTATCCCATCAAGACTCCAAACCACCCATCGTCCATTTATTCGCGTGTCTACATTGTACATGTTTTGACGTTGGACTTAGTCATCATGTTTGTCTCTACATTGTACATGTTTTAATGTTTGACTTAGTCATGTGACTATATTGAACTTGTTTGAATGTTTGATCCACCTAGTCTTTGTTTCACATGTTTTAGACTATTTAAATTATTTTAAGGGTAAAATAGTTAAGTAGTTTACCCAACAACCCAGTGTATTAGATTACGTAAGAAATGAGTTGTTACAGATCGAAAGTAATTTTAACGAAAAAGTCATTTTCAATTAATTTGATTATGTTTTCAAAATAACTTTATCTAAAATTCTATGACGTATTATGGGAGTGATTAACTTGATATTTTCACGCAACGAGTTGTTAAAAAAGAATATGTAGGTCGGGGGGTCATTTATGCTAGCTCAAACTTAAGAAGCATGTATGGCTGTATGATCTGCTCATTTTAATTTAAGCTAAAAATAAATATTTTTGCCGGCATTGCCATCAATCAAAATAAATAATGACAAAAAAACTTTAAGAAATGAAACTTTATAAAAAAGATTTTATTTTAATCAACTTGCATTATTTCAAAAAAGAAGATGCCAAAGTGGCGTAATACATCAACATAAATGTTTGTCAGAGATCATAATGTGTAATTCGTCACATAATCTTTTAATTTGACTAAATATAGATTTTGTCTGTCTAGCTAATCATAAATGTCCACATGCAAACTATTTTGAAACAATCATACTACGTGTACATCTTATTTTACATAATTTTTGATATTGTGTCACGTGATGATAAATGATTGGACAATTTTGAAAAAATAAAAATAAAAATACACTGTTCCATCCAACACTTTTTGAACTCCAATGAAATGTACACAAAGATATCAACCCCACAATGTAGCATTATTCATTTTGAAATACAAAATTGTCCGTATGCAAACTGTGAGATTTTCGCTCTCTAACTTATTTCAAGGTCATGGGTTTTTTCATCTACTTCCTCTATTTCATAAAGATGGATTTACTATCTATTTCCATTTGGCTCAAATTATAGACCACTTTCCTTGTTAAGAGTATAGTTAATTTCTTTATTTTATTTTTTTCAATATGCTTTATTTAATTTATCTTATTATCAACAAATATAAACTACTATTATTCAATATAGGGATATAATAAGAAAAAAACGTGAGTAAAATTTATGATTTCAACTATATTAATTAAGTTTCTTAATTTGAGTGAAAATGGAACAAATTTTTTTTTTTTTTTTTTGTGGGATGGTGAGAGCAAATACAAGTTCAACATCGATTAAATTAAAATAATTAAACGAGGTTTCGCATTTGGTGAAGTGAGTTGCCACGAAAGTATACTGCAGTATGGTATCTATTCAAAATAGACGAATGGATTTGTATTGGATTCCTATACAAAAGTAGAAACATAGAAGAATAAAAAATAAACACTACATATTAAATTCCGTTGTTTTATCATTACTTGAATCTCTTTGGTGAAGAGTAACAAAGGGGGATATCGAATCATACACCATTTTGTTTAGCTCTTGTTTGGTATAGATAAAAAACAAGTTTTTAATAACTTTTTATAAAAATAGATGGAATGTTTGAATGAAAAATTATGGATTTCTTGAAATGTGCGATTAAAATTAACTGTTGACTTTAACTTAAATCTGAATTCATTTTTATATCTTAACCAAATAGGGACTTCATTGTCTCGGAGGCAATAGTTGCAAAGGTTGGGTTAAATGAGATATTGGATATACGAGACTTGTCTGCATGTTTCACGGTCAATTGGGTATTCTTTGTTAACTAGGAACCATGGTGCTACGTAAATAATAAGTAGGGGACTAAAATGATTAGAAAAATAGATCTGAGACCTATTTATTATTACATGACTAGGTTGAAAGCTGAGACTGCAAATTTTCCTCCATCTTCAGTCTTTGGGTTGTGAAAAAGGTTCATGTTTGATTGTCACAACTGTGCATGGTGTTAAGTTTGGTACGACTGTACGAGTGATTGTTGAGAATCTACGTGTACTCAATAATTGCTTGTCAAGTTTGTCATTTACACTAAAGACAAAGTCACTCGCTCCACAATTCTTTATAAAGAAAAAATAAAGCCGAGTTATCAATTAGGTACTTAGTCCATGTGATGAAGCGCATAAGGAGTTAGAATTTATGATGAAGTGGGATCGCAAGGCAAAATAATGATTTCATGATAACTTTGGGTTTGTCCGTTTTTGGCGAATTAATAGTCTAAATTGAGTGGAAACGGGCCAAGGATCACAACTCATCGCCTTCGACCATGACGTACGTCGGATTTCGGACAGATTCCATCGTTTAGGCTCTCGATTACGCGTTTTTGCCGTTTATGGTAATTTTTATTTTGGTAATATCTCATTCAATAAAATTCGGATTTTGATTCCGTTTGTTGGAGGACGATCCTGAATATTAGGAGTTTCTATTTAAGTTAGAATATCGAATTTTTCCATTTATGTAAAAATATCGTTTTTTTTATTTTTATTATTTATTTTCCGAAATTTGCTAGGGTTTTGCTATTTAAACCATTGTAAGCCCTTCGAGGCAGGCATTATTGAATTGAATAAAAACTTTTGTGAGTTTATCTCATATTTGTGAGGTTGTTCATCTTTCCTATAATCTTCCGCTACGTCACCATGTTTGTCAATTATTAGTGTACAAAAATAAATTTATGAATAGTAAAGTTTTGAAGAATGTGTAATTAAGAAGTAAGAAAAAAAATTGAGTTTAAGTGTAAAATATTTTATTATAAAAATTTATAGTTGAAAATAAGTTTGAAGAAAAAAAGTTTTAAAATAATGATACACGTCAAATAGAAGCTTAATTTCCTGATTGCATTCATTTTTTTTTTTCCTTTTTTCTCTAACTTTTTTTGAAAGAAATATGTTGAGGATAAATTTCACGTCGAATAAGTTTAAAAATATAAATGGAAAGATTCGTGAGGTGATAAAGGATGAGACATCCTCCACTCAATTGATAGGGAATAATTCTCAATGTACAGAACTATTCATTGCCAGAAGTCTTACAGATACTCACATGGATGTGGCCTCATGTGAATTAAATATTTTATTAAAAAAGTGGGTCCTATAATTTTGTGTCTTGTTTGGAAATTTTCTGTATCTGTACATGTAGGGCTGCTTATTGATAGGTTCATCGCATCCCATCTAGACTCTCAACCACCCTTCTCCACTTCCTCACAAGTATGCATTAGACGTGAATTAATGATTGACTTAGTCATCGTGTCACATGTTTAATCCTAATTAAATTATTTATGTGTAACATAATTTAGTAGTATGCCCAATAAACCCAATGCAGTGCATTGTATTGGGTCCTTTATTCAGTAAAGAAATTTAGTTGTTACATATTTGAGATGATTTTATTCTAAAAGTCATTTTTAATTAAAAAGTCAAATTTGGTGAACAGATAAAGTCAACATATGAGTTCGTTTATGTTTTCACAACATACGTAAGAGCAATGAATAATTAAATAGCTAAAATCTTTGAAACACAACACAACACAACCTAGGAAATATCTAAAAGAGGTGAATGAATAATGAAAGTAGTAAAAGTACTTCTAGCTAGAAACATATAATTAACTAAATCCCGCAAAATTGAAGAGCAAAATGACCTCACAAAAGAGAAATTCTACCCCCACCAAATATCTAAATTGCTTAAGTACTCGTTTAATTCTTAACACATTTCAAATTAATCTAATATATACTTGACTTAGGGGTTTTATTATTTTCACCCTTTGATCATTTTATAAACGGTTTAAAGTCTTCAAGAATATAATATCACATTTGATAATAAAGGTTTTATTGTTTTTCACCCTTTGATAATTTCTAAATGGGGCAAAGTTTCCAAGAATATAATAACATGTTGGATAATAATGCTTAAAATATAATATTAATTTCATTCTTTCATTTCAATTTACGTATTATATATAATATGTTTGAAATAGTTGGACACTCAATGCATTATATGCCTCAAAAACTTGAATATCGACAGCATGGCTTTAATTGACGTTCACATGTATGTGCATTCATGTGAGTATTTAAAGCATCAGTACTTTATATGATATTCACATGTATGCCGTAAATTTTTTTTTTAAACGACATGCAATAATGCTCATCGTAAAAAGCATTGCTTGCCATGAAAAGCAAATTTTGCTTTAGTGAATGTAGATCCATGTCCAAAGGGGAGGTCTATTAGCATAGCAACCTCGCGTCTTAGATACTCGGGTTCTTGTCTTGCATTGATTTTCATTTCACACTTTCTAGTCAGTGGTTTTAAGTTAATGTTTTGTGAGTGTATAGTGAGCCTAATGTTCTTATTCGCTTGTTGATAGGTTTGAGTGTTATAATTTTGATTATTTGATGATTGAATAACTTTTGAGGTTGTTCCTTTTCAAAACTCGCTGATCAATTCATAATTTAAACAAAGCTTGGCTTGCAAAGATTTTTCAGGAATTTTTTTTTTCAAGAATGTGTTTTAAGAAATGGAGAAAATTTGTGGATCGCATAGAAATACTAGGAAAGAATCTGTTAGTAAAAAAGGAATATATGCTATATTTAGGATGTGATAATGATGATTAAATTATCCTAATTTAATGTGTATATATATTATGATTTAGCACTTGATTTGTGAAACTCTTTTACATGTTTGATAAATATGAAATTGTATTTTTAATTTAATGTAATTATGTATTTTTCCCTTGCCTGAATTTATTAGGTATATAACGCCGACATAGCATATGAAATAGAATAATGGAACATGTCCAAATCAATTTCGAGTAAACGATACTTAGAGGAACAACAGAGCAAATTTTGAACTAGACATCTTTTTCGTAAAAAAAGACGAGGAAAACTAGTATGGTAGCTCCTTTTATTAGTAAAGCCTATGCTTTCCTGATCGAAACATGACCATAGCCGGCCAGCAAGTCGAGTGGATTAGGGCACTCCATAACTTATAATTTAGCACTGCGTATATGGTGATTGGAAGCCAAGCAAGAGAAGCTACTAGTCTCGGCAACGGCCCTTGCTTTTCCTCGTTGTAAACCAAAAAGAAGGTTGCACTAAATGTTAAGACCACGCAAACAATTGAAGCAAAGAGTGAAATTAGTCCAATCATCAACTTTGCCGGTAATGAAAATAGAAAATCATCTTCTGTGTAACGTGAAGTTAAGATAGATAAGAACATCATTATGGAAGTTGTCGAGCTGAACAATGCCACTGCATCAGATATAACAAAAACTGTGAACCACCTGTTCTTCAAGAATACTGGAGTTCCTATTTCATTATTGCCACCTGGTACGGTAAAGGCTGCAGCAAATGCGACCGTGGCAATTAAAGTTGCCACGACCATGCAAGAAGTTGCGGTCTCCTTCATCCACTCTTCACCATCTTTCCTTAACTTCTTGTGCTCCTCGGAAAATAACTCCCTTGGTGTTTGGTCGTCTCTGTTTTTCACATTGAGTACTGAAAATGGTACAATCTTCTCCACCTCCTGAAAGCTTACTCAAGTTATTGCATATTGCAAAATCCTCCAAAATTTAACTCTCACACAGCGAAAAAGTATTACTTAGAATAGTATATTTGAGATTTCAAAGAACATGGTCCACACATATATTTGATAATAAGAAATTATTCAGTTTCACTACCATGTTAATTTCTCACCTTAAACCATAGTAGCTCTCTTTGCATTTGAAGAGCTGCTCCAGATACAATATTGAGTCTGCTTGGAGGTGCTAATTTCCCGGCCAAGTGCAAAATGTTGTTTCCTTTATTATCTATATTGAGTGTAATTAAATCCTTGACAGCTCCTATGTGGTAGATGAGACTGAATATTTTCTCTTGTCGGTTAATTACAGCGACATGAAATACGGAGTATTTATTTG